CGTGTTCGGCTCGAAATTGGCTCGTTAAACTAAAATTAAGAAAAATAGATGTAAAGTGTGGGATTCGAACCTGAGTCAAATCTATACAAAAAAAGACACTAACCAATTTGTCACATGAGGTATTATAAATTTAGACATAAATATATATAATATATTATAATATAGATAATATATGTAATATATTATTATATAAAAAGTTATATAAATTTTTTTTCGAGCCATTTCGAGCCGAACACGAGCGAACAAACTGTTGTTCGTGTTCGACTCGTTTACATTTCGAGCTTAAATATTTGTTCGTGTTCAGCTCGTCAGGCTTAACGAATGAGCCGAACACGAGCTGCTTAACGAGCCGAACACGAGTTGTTCACGAACAACGAGCCAAATTGACAGCCCTAGGAGAGACTTTATGACAAAATTTAGCCAAAATCTATACTCAATAGGACGGTCTGTATTGATTTTCATATTATAGATTATTCTTTTAGTATTCAAGTGTCTTTAATAAACTCATAATTGAGTATGTTTTGGATCATTGAACTTCTCTCATTCAGACAATTGAGTTGGCTACAATCATGGCAAATTTTGAGAACTTTAGATCGTTCAATTAATATATTAAACCTTCTAAGCATACTTTAAGTGTTTGATCCAAGCTCATTTGGGATTAGTTTGAATTACTTTTAGTATTTTTGAATTTGTATTTTTGAGATATCAAATTTAGTTAAAATTTTGCTCAAATTGAAGCTTGAATGATCCTTAATTTAACTCTAAAAATTTTTGTATCAAATTTGCATCGTGATTCATGCCGGTTCAAGTATATATTCAAGTAGCATACCAGCCACCCTCTAATTTTTTGATGTTAAATCTTGTGCCTTTTATCTATATACAAGCACAAAATTATAATTTTTAAAATACTACAAGACATGATCTCTTCCATGATGTTAATATGGACCACTTCATGATGCCACAAAAAAAATACAATTTCCTTAGTCATATTTTTAATCATTCTTAAAATTGGTTTATCAATCAAAGTCAGTTGTTGTAATCACTTAGAGCAAAGTTAAGGAGGCTCCATTGGGTTTTTAATAGTCTTTACATTTAATCAAGTGCACACATGCATGTGTGCACACACATGTGCACTCATTCACACACTCAAGGCACTTCATAATTTCGAAGAATTTAAAAAATTCATTCAATAAAGCTCAATTTGATAAATTAAAAGTAGATTAAATATTGAATTTTATAATAGAAAAATATGTATAAGCTTATTTAAATAATTTAATTTTTTTCTTTAAATAAATAATTAAATTTAATTAAAATTTTATAAAAAAATCTTAAAATCTTTTGAAATTATTGAAAAATTATTGTAATTCTTATCTTTTGATGGTGTTTTTTTTTTAGTTCAAATGCACCCACCATAGATCTTAAAAAAAAATTTATAAATGATTAGATGCATCATTTGAAGAATAATATATCATCCAGAGAGGCATAAATAATACTTTGAAAAAGAACTAATCATATAGATGCTGAAGATTTTTAGGATTTATGGGTCTACATTAATCGAAGATTTTCCTCTACCTTACATGAGTAGGATATGGTTTATTTTGTTATGGGATCTATTATCCTTGCAAGAGAAAGCCATCATAGTTAATTTTCCAATGATTTATGGAGTCCTAAGAATACTCTCGATTAAAGTATTGACATGTTTTATTTGAGATTTCATTGTTGGATGATTCAAGAATAGAGTTTTAAAATTCAAATGGTTAGGACTTATCGTTCAATGATGATGTGTCATGCAAAAGCCCATGAAAGAGATTAACCAACTCTGGGAAGGAGGTATACCATAGGAATTGAAATCGGGAAATCATTGAAGGAATTGTGTTTAGTGAATTGGGATGGAATCAAAAAGAATTTTGAATGGATTAAATTTGTTGGATTTAGGTTAGATTGAAAAAAAATTGATTTAAAAAGGTTTGATTTGAAGAGGCTTAAATTGAAGGTTTAATTTGAAAAGATTTGAGTTTCAAAGGTTTCGATTTGAGGGTTTTGATTTGAAGATTTTGATTTGCTAATCTAGGTTTAAGAGAATTGGAAGATTGAGTTTGAAAGTTTTGAGTTGAAAAGGTAGAAAAGATTTCAAGATGGAAGTTGAGAGTCTAACCTTAAGGTAAATCTTGACCCTATAAGAAGACTAAATAGGTGGACTAAATTAAACTTAGGGATTGACATCCTTAATCAAGATAACATATCATTGCTGAAGAGGAGGCTGTAACTACTGCTTTGAACATTGCTGTTAGTTGTGGTTAGGAAAGAATTATTGTTGAAATGGATTCTTTGATTTTATGGAATTCCTGTAATATGCAAAAAAAGTATTCCTGGAATCTGATTAATTATATGAAAAAAATTTTTGCTCTTCAAAGTTGTGTGTAGGTTCAATGGTCGTTCATTCATCGTGAAGGTAATAAATGAGCTAATTGGGTAGCTAGAAGACATTTGGAGTCCTAGTTGACTAATATCTCTTAGTTGATATTTTTATATTTTGATTTTTCTAACTACCTACAGGATTTGCTTGAGTGTTCTCTGACCCGGCCCGCAAATACATAGTTATTTAATTTCCTAGCCAAAAACTTGACCTAGTTTTCTTAGGTGGCTAGTGTGCAAAAAGGATATGTTATATAATTTAGAATTTGATTTATATTTCACACACTAGGGGTTTATACAAGTGCACGTGTCGTTTCAAATAATATAAGGTTTTCTTTAAAATCCAGAGTATCGATCCTATAGAGAAGTGACGTAAGAATTCCCTTAGGCTAATTCTAGTATACTAATATTAGGTCTTAGTTCGAAATGTCAATTCAAACTCCTAAATACAAACCTAAATCTAAAGATAAACCTAACTAGCTAAAAATACAAACCTAAATCTAAAGATAAACCTAACTAGATAAATTGGTTTGACAAATTTTGAGATGTAAAAACTACCTTTCTCTTGTGATGACCTAGATAAGGTGTATGAATGAAATGCTTAGAATTTAATGTAGCATATCACAATAGGAGTAAACCTATTCTTTACCCTCTTCCAAGTGCATAAAAAACATTGGATACTCTATAGTTAAGTTCCTAAATCTAAGGTTATGCTGGGTAGGTCCTATCATGTCACCCTAGGTTATCCATAATGCCCTCTCTTTAGGACTAACCGGTCCTTAAGTTCCAAACTTTAGATGAAATTGATAAAAATTTAGCCTGTCACCCTACAAACACCAATTTACACCCAATCGATGAATATTTTCCTAACATTGCATTGCCGCCTAAACTACTTCATCATAGCCAACCAGACAATGTGAGTGCACTTAAGTTGTGAAGACATTGCTCTTTTGAATCTTAGTTTCAACTTACAACATATTTTAACATAACATATGCTTAGTACATTGTGTCAATGAAGCATTGAATATATTACTCATCACATAGAATATAAAATTATTCTATCATAAAACATATTTTCCCATTTATGTCACTGCTTCATAACAAAGAGGAAAGAGAAATGAAAACTACTCACTAAGCATAAAGAAAACACATCAGAAAACTTCATTTAAATAAAAGCAAATCCACTAGATAAGTGTTTATAATAATTATAAAATTATGAAGAACACAATACTTAGCTTTTCCCTCTGAAAAAATGATGAAAATCCCTCCAATAAAGTCTCTTAATGATCCATGCAATGCTAATACGATTCCTTTCAGATATCTCTCAAAATCCCCCCTCTCCAATCTCTCTAGCAATCTCTCTAGAAAAGGTAAGAATCTACATTTCCTACTCCTATCTACAAACTCTAGGCATTCTTGGAGATTCCAGGAGTTCAAAATGCGAAAAGGTGTCTTTCTAAGTGCCAAAATCTGCCTAATAACTTCTCAGGGTGTCTAAAACTCGTCCACAACCTTTTATGGCGCGTAGGCGTCAAAAAGTGGCACCGCGGCGCCATCTTTTTTTCTGAGAGGGGACTAGCGCCTAGG